GGACATCGGCGCCGCACAGAAGGGCAAGCAGTCGGAGCAGAGACGGCTCCAGATGGACTGCTACAAGTGTGGCAAGTCAGGCCACTTTGCCCGACAGTGCAAGGCACCTAACTGTCGTTGCGGCTCGGACCGCCACACTACAGACCGGCACAGGCAGCCGGCTAACAACGGTCGCCAAGTGCAGCAAACAGAAAGCGCGCCAGCTGATCACTGGCGTGGCATGGACTTCGAAGAGGTGAAAGCCTTCTTCTTCGACATGCACAACACAGAGATGAAGGCGCAGGGAAAAGCCTTCGGCCCTTGAACACGGGGACAGTTCGAGGTGCCACATCTCTGGCAGGCAGCAGACAGCGCCCAAAAGCACCTGTCAGGAAGCTCGAGCCTGTAACTCAAACAGGGCAAAATAAATGTGTTAATGACAATGTTTCTTTTTCTTGTAGTAATAGGTTTTCTTGTCTTGATGTTTTTGATACTTCTGATTTTCTTGATAGCGCAATAAGTAGTTCTAAAAATACAAAAGAATCTACAAAAATAGAAAATACAAAACAATCACAAAAAAATAGTTTAGTTTCTTTGTTTTCTGATTTCTTGGATACGTATGTAGAAGGGGGGTCCTCCTTACGAGGCTCGGCGGTTCAACCCGTGCTTAATTCCCCAAAACCCAAAATAACTTCTTCAATCAACTCTTTGTCCCCTGGAGATGATTTCCCTGAACGGATAGTTACTAGATCGGTTTCCCTTAAAAAGGAATTGAAAATCCCGATCGAAGTACTGGACAAGCACGTGGATGTTGACACCACGACCCCTATCCAAGTTCAAGCTCTACTTGATAGTGGAGCCAATTCTATCTTTATCGATCGTCAATGGGCTAAGCGACAAGGCATCATGCTACGCAAATTGCCGATACCTATCCCAGTCTTTAATGTCGATGGTACAAAGAACCGAGCAGGAGACATTACTCATGTCGCGGAAATCTGTATGGAGTACAAAGGTCACAAAGAAGTAGTTCAAGCCGAAATCAGTGATCTCGGCACTGCTGTCATAATCCTCGGATATACCTGGCTCGAATTCCATAACCCGAACATTAACTGGCAAACTGGTGAAGTTAAATTAAATTGTTGCCCAAGATCTTGCTATCAATTATCTAATCGCGCTACGCGCCTCGCTTCGATGGAACTAGAAGAAGAAGTCGAAGCAATCTCTAGATGGAAAGGTCTTATCAGTGACCTTGAAACTGATAACATGTAGAAAAAGCTGCAAAGCACGGTTGTTCTAGAAACACCTGTTAAGGAATTAGTTCCCAGCGTTTACCACAAGGACTTTTACAAAACTTTCTCGAAGAAAGAATCCGAGCGCATGCCAACACGCAAGCCGTGGGATCATGCAATCGAACTTAAAGAAGACTTCAAACCTAGAAAAGGGCGAATGATTCCCCTTTCAGCTCAGGAGCAGGATGAAGTTAAATCTTTTATTGAAGATCAGCTCTCGAAGGGCTACATTAGACCGTCTAAATCACCTCAGACGTCACCTGTATTCTTCGTTCCCAAGAAAGAAGGTACCAAGCGGATGGTTCAAGATTACCGCTATCTGAATGAAGGAACGGTTAAAAATAATTATCCCTTGCCCCTAATTAGTCAGCTTGTTGACAAGCTAAAGGGTGCAAGATATTTCACGAAAATGGATCTCCGATGGGGATACAATAATGTACGAATCAAAGAAGGCGATGAATGGAAGGCAGCATTCGTCTGTCATCTCGGTTCTTTCGAACCTCTCATCATGTTCTTTGGTCTCTGTAATTCGCCAGCTACGTTCCAGGCAATGATGAACGAGTTATTTGCGGATATGGATGACATTGTTGTTATCTACATGGATGATCTATTAATTTATACCAAATCGGACAATATCGATGAGCATCATAAAGCTGTTGCACGTGTGCTCCAGCGGCTCAAAGATAATGACTTATTTGTCAAGCCGGAGAAGTGCTTCTTTGACAAGATAGAAGTAGAATTCCTCGGTATGACCGTAACTCGCGATGGCGTTCGCATGGACGAATCGAAAGTTAAAGCAATCCAGGAGTGGCCAGTCCTACGAACGGTTAAACATGTCCGTTCTTTCCTCAGTCTTGCAAACTTTTACCGTCGCTTCATACTCGGTTATGCTGGAATTGCAAAACCTCTTACGGACTTAACACGAAAAGATCTCCAGTGGAACTGGGGAGATAAAGAACAACAGGCGTTTGAAACGCTTAAAGAACGTTTTACGACAGCACCCATTTTGGTATATCCAGATATCGATGTGGAGTTCCGCCTAGAAACCGATGCCTCGGATTTTGCCACAGGGGCTATCTTATCTATGAAATGTCCCGATGGAGAATGGCGACCATGCGCCTTTAGTTCACACGCTTTATCTGCCCAAGAGCGGAACTATCAAGTCGCAGATAAGGAAATGCTCGCTATTATCCGTGCGTTAGAAACGTGGAGACATTATCTAGAAGGTGCTCGGCACAAGTTTGAAATTTGGTCCGACCACAAGAATTTACAATATTTTATGAAATCTCAAGATCTAAATCGACGACAAGCAAGATGGTCCTTGTACCTTACTCGATTCGACTTTACCTTGGTCCATAAGGCAGGAACCTCCATGACGAAAGCTGATGCTTTATCCCGACGTTGCGATCATTCCAATGGAATTGAAGATGACAACAAGGGCGTCACCATAATTCCTCCCGAAAAGATTAGGGCCCAACACATTGTTGTGGAAGTCGAAGAGAGTTCAATCGTTGAACGAATTAAAGGACTATCTAAAGATTTGGATCTAGGATCGAACTATAAGCTCCAGGATGGGCTTTATTACCGAGAAAATCGTATTTATGTTCCTGGTGATGCCAAGCTTCGCCAAGACATCCTTACACTCCATCACGATAATCCTATCGCAGGACATCCTGGTCAATCGAAGACACAGGAATTGGTGGAACGTAATTATTATTGGCCTGGGTTACATACACAGGTCAAGGACTATGTTTCGCGTTGCGATCGATGCGCACGCATGAAAAGTTCTCGCATTGCCCCAGCAGGCATGCTCCAACCTCTGCCGATCCCATCTGGACCATGAGTCGATATCTCGGCAGATTTTACAACGGACTTACCGCTTTCGGATGGTTACGACACGATTCTAGTAATCGTTGATCGTTTCTCAAAAGAAGCTATATTTATTCCAACCAACAAAACGATCACGGCTCTCGAAACGGCCAAATTGTATTTGCAACATGTCTGGAAGCATCATGGTCTTCCCACGACTATCGTTTCAGATCGTGGTCCACAGTTCGCGTCTCAGGTTATGCGCAAATTAGGAAAATTCTTAGGGATTGAGCTGAAGCTCTCCACCGCATTTCACCCGCAAACAGACGGGCAAACAGAACGGATGAACCAGGCGTTACAGGAATATATCCGTCTTTTCATTGCCGAAAAGCCATATGATTGGTCTGATTGGCTAGCGCTGGCGCAATTCTCTTATAACAACAAGCGCCAGGATTCGCTTGGTAAATCTCCATTTGAGGTCACTCGATCCTACAAACCAAGGATGGGCGTTGAACCGCTTCAGTCCAGGGTCCCTGCAGCCGAGGATCTCGCGACAACTATGGAGAAAACCCTTGAGCAGGCTCGCAAAAGTCTAGAGAAAGCGCAAGCCGCTATGAAAAAGCAAGCCGATCGTCATAGATCACAACCACCTCCTTATCAGATCGGCGATAAAGTGTGGTTGAGCACTTCTAACTTAAAGCTTCCTAGACCAAGTCGGAAGTTTACAGAGCGCTGGCTTGGTCCTTACGAAATCACGAAGCTGGTCGGCTCCAATGCCATTGAACTTCGGTTGCCTTCGACAATGCGCATTCACCCAGTTGTGAATATTAGCCGCATTAAACCTTATAAAGAACGATTGCTCGGTCAGCCGGCGCAACAACCTGGTCCGGTACTAGTTACCGAAGAGGGTGATCAGGAATATGAGGTTGATTACCTAGTTGACTCTTGCTTGCGAGGTCGTCGCCTCGAGTTCTTGGTACATTGGGTTGGTTATTCTGACGAGGAGCGTACTTGGAAGCCTGAGGCTAACCTGAGTAATGCTCGCGATGCTATTCGCGATTTCTATCGTCGCCAACCTTCCGCTCCCAGGAAGTTGCGTATAGTTCAGTCGCAATTCGACTCTTTGTTTTCTCCCTATGTTAACTATTGCTCTGTGGCTTCTGCCCCGTTTAATCGCCTGGAATGCGATTCCTAGAAGGGGGGTAGTGTTACGGGGTATAATTTTTCATCTATTTTTCTCTCTTTTTCTTTCTCCTTTTACGGTCACGTGACTTACATCACGTGCTTATTTTATCATGTGACTGGATCACGTGACTCGGTCATGTGACTCGCTCACGTGCAACGAGGACTTTATATTTAGACATCACGTGACTAGAGCCTAGACTGGCCTAGAACGTTCTTACCTAGACCCACCTAGAACCGGTCTGGACCATGACATCACCTGACGTCATATGGAACGTCGTGGAATGTTGTGGAACATTCCGATGATATCATATGTTTGTTAGATACAAACACTGTAACTGTATATAAGATGCAATGCCAACGCCCAGAGACCCTAGCTTGGTTCTCTTGGGGCTACCCGTCCACGAGCGATCCTAAGTTTTATCCCTCTATCCCTTCGCTTTTCGTTGACAAGCTATCGTCAACGCTATCCTCTTTATCGTCCAAGTCTTCAAGTGAGACTATAACTCATTTGTTTTCTCCGCCTTAGTTTTAGTGGTGACGTCGCGAAAGGCTACGCCTTAGCGCTCGTCTCACTTCCTGGTTTCAGAAGAAGAAGATCAACAGGCTCAACTGACCTCCAAATAGCTCCAACATAAATATTATCAAGCATGTATGGGAATATTTGGAGCGCCATATACACAGCTGCATATCGCTACCATGCAATCTCAATGAGTTATTGCCAAAATTTGGTTGAAAAAATGGACTAAATAGAGATTGAACCTGCAACCTCCAGTAGTAGTACTATGGTGTTCTATCCACTGAGCTACCAGTCTGATTAAAGAACCAGTGGTTAACTCAAATGTCAATGTGTGATTACAAGCCGGAGCTTGCTATATTTTGACAGTTATGACAGACCCTAGTAGAGGAATGAGAGAAGATCGAGGAGGATTATATTACAAAGCTATACAACAGCATGGTGGATTGAGTTCAGGCACTGTTGGAGGCGAAGGGGGCTCACACCAGGTACTAAGTTTGTTACGGAGTATAATTTTTCCTTATTTTTCTCTGTTTTTCTTTCTCTTTTCATGGTCATGTGATTTACATCACGTACTTATTTACTCACATGACTGGATCATGTGACTTGCTCATGTGACTTGCTCATATGCAACGAGGACTTTATATATCATGTGACTAGGCCTGGACTTGCCTAGAACATTCTAGTCATAGACTTACCTAGACCAGTCTAGACCATGACATCATCACAATGTCATATGAAACACCATAGAATATTGTGGAACATTTCCATTACTAATTATTTGTTCTGTATAAACATTGTAACAGTATATATATTGGAATGCTATCGTCCAGAGACCTTAACTTGATTCTCTTGGGGCTACCTGTCTATGAGCAAATCTAAGTCCTTCTCTCCTCATCATCCAGCTCACTGTTGATGAGCATAAGCCAACGCTTAAATCTTCACCTTTGCATGTCTTCAAGTTGGATGTAAACTAATTTGTTTTCTCAAACTTCGGTATTAGTATAGACGTCATGAGAGCCTAGTGCATCGCTCGTCTCAAAGTTGTTTCATAGCTTTATCTTATTGTGTTCACCCAATGTGCATAAAGTTTATAAAGGTGCCAGACATCCAAATATAAAATGCACAGTACTTTTTTTACTTTTGATCTTGCCTAGCATTCTACATCAATTTTCAACACACTATTGATATAGAACAACATTCTATGGACACCCTGCTATTGAATGAGCTCAATATCTTTTGATATGGTGGAGTAGGCGAGGAGGAGGACATTGTCAAAAAAATTATGATTTTGAGTCACTGTTCATGAGAAAGACCCTTGAAAGTTATAGAGCTTATAAGAGATGCTCACTAAGATCCACATATTCTGCAGAAGACTATGGTGTTATAAATGCACTTTTAAAAAATACAGCCCTCCACAGTAATTTGCATGCTCCAGTTTATACGTTTTTGCATTTGACAAGTCATTCTATTTCTAGCTACTAGGGGCCATTATAACGACAGACCCTTGGTGTTGTGGACACTCTTTTCCACAAGCGTTTGCTACAGTGCCCATGCTTCACAACAGTAGAGCAAGCACATTTGAGAAAAAGCACTGATTGTGAGTAGTATCTGACCTTATTATAGTTTTGGCTATGACAAATGGTTGGAATTAAATGAATATAGGTACAGGGTACGGGGGAGGAGGGGGTTGAGATAGTGAAAATGATTAAAGTGATGACATACTACATAATGAATGGAGGATGATTCATCAAAACATCAATTAGGTTAGTACTATATGCCAGAAGGTGAGGCTAATTATCAACAACAAAGTCAACTTTGGCATACTCTTCTTCTTGTCAAGGATTCAAAGCCTGTGAAGCAAAAGGATCAGTTTGCTATAGATGCTGTCTGATTATTTACTACAAGCTTTATGTTGGTGTTTCGCAGTGGTGTCAATGATGTATGTGAATGCACATGCATAAAAGTAAAATGTGCAACACTGAAATGCGTGGATTGTTGCAGGGGAGCTCATCTTTCAAAAGTGCCTTTATAACACCATATGCACCCTGCATCTACATTCACTTAATTCCAACCATTTGTCGTAGCCAAAACCATAACAAGGTCAGATACTACTCACAATCAGTGCTTTTTCTCAAATGTGCTTGCTCTGCTGTTGTGAAGCATGGGCACTGCAGCAAATGCTCGTGGGAAAGAGTGTCCACGACATCAAGGGTCTATCATCATAATGGCCCCTCTACTAGTAGCTAGGAATAGAATGACTTGTCAAACGTGCAAACGTGCAAACTGGAGCGTGCAAATTACTGCAGGGGGCTGTATTTTTTAAAAGCACATTTATAACACCATAGAAGACAGGTATGTCTCTAAAGATAAGTGGGTAGATGATATGTATACCTATACCCTGTGTTGTGTAGCGATGCTGCTGCAGCATCCGTCTCAATGCCACTACTAGTAGGCATCGAGGCCATTTCCCTCTGCGGGAATGCAAACCCTCATCACAGAGTAGATTCCTTCCGATCAAGATATCACTGGTGTGCATCCAGCTGATACAACCGATTCTGGAGTCGACCCCCCCTCCCAAGACAACGAGGCAGCCCATGTGATAGGCTGGTTCTGATAATGACAATGAATGCCCTCCACCTAATATTAACAGGCAATCAGTGGCACACTCGAAGACGCGGGCCACCCCCTGGATGAATTCTAGGGATTGTCCTTCTATAAGAGAAGGAACGACTATCTTCCTCTCTGTCTATAGAGGTCTGCTTTGGGGAAACTAGGGATTACCATGCATATGCGTCGACGATACAAGTACCACGATATACACGGTACGTTCGTCTAAGCTCGACATAGACCACGCCAAAAGTCCTTCAACACATGGCCTCCCCCAAACATACACATAGAAATTCACATAATACAACCCGCACATAAAATAATCTCGGCTCTAACAATACAAATCTCGATTATAAAACCCATTGCATCTAACATACCACCCCCCCTATCTCCCTCCCCTATTCCCTCGTACCGCCGCAGCACTCACGAACTCGCCGACGCACTCGCAGCACCCCCCCTCAAGTCCTTACTCACCCGCGACCGCCCCCGTCTCTCCTGCTCCCCCTCATCGCGTCTCCTCCGTCCCGACTTCGCAGGCGCTATCGACGTCGACGACGACGGTGGTATATGCGCGGACAACTTTCCCTTGCCACTGCCCTCGCCACCTCGCCCACCCCGCGCGATCGATAAACTCACCTCGGGCCGCACACACCCCGTCAACACCAGCGCAAGCGCCACGAGCGCGCTCGCAGCTACGAATATAGATTTGGGGAACGAGGCGACGGTGAGGGTGTATATCAGTCCAAAGAGCATGGGCTATATGAGCGAGTTAGCCGTCGGCGGGTACGAGAAGAAAAAGTAAAGGGTAGGAGGGAAACGCACCCCAAGAATCATCTGCCCCACAGCCTGCAAAACAGCGAGCGCGCCAAACAGTTTGCCGGGTTCGACTTGTGCGTCGTCGTGTAGTTCCCCGTGCCCACTCCCTGCCGCACTTCCACTGACACCGCCACCCCCAGCCCCCGACCCATCATCCCGTACCGCTACCGCACCACCCTCCTTCGCAGCCAACACCCTCCCCTGCAACGTACACAACGCCAAGCTTTGCACGGCAGGCATAACTCCCGCACCGACACACGCCAAAGACGTCGCACCTACAAACATCCATTCCGACCACGACGAACCGGAATGGGTGGAAGGGAGGGGTGATAACACGACGGCGGCGTGCGAGCATAGATCGACGAGCATGGAACAGCGCACGACGAGCAGGTCGAACCGGATTTCGGAAAAGAGGTGGGATTTGGTGGGTGGGGGTTTGGTTTTGGGGTCTGGGATGGTGGTGGTGGTGGGAGCGAGGGGTTGGGTGGCGGAGGACGGGATGGCAGATGAGATGGCTGTGCGTACGGGTTTGAAGGTAGATAGGAGGACTTGGGGACGGTGAGTCAAGCACGCGCGTCAAGCAAACAACTACCACTTACACGGCAAGAGAAACATGAGATGCAAAGCGCGCGATGCACCCATGAACGAGATGTAATAACTAAGCTGCTCAGCAGCCCATTCGTATACATGTTCAGCATAGAGGTATTTGATCTGGAAGACACCCGTGGCGAGCATGTGGAAGAAGAGAGAGAGAGCAAGGAATGTCAAGCTCCAGTCTTTGCGGACGCGCGTTTCTGTTGCTGTTGCAACGCCCGTACTTGGAGGAACTGGTACATCGGTGGGCAGGAACACGCCAAGGGGCGATAGAAAGCTCCTGACGATCCTGATTGCCGCCCATTCGCCGTCTGATTTGGCTGGGTATAATTAGGCTTGAATGACGTGGCAATAAAGGATCTGAGCCTACCGTCACTAATGAATTGAGAAGCGTCGACGGCACGGTTCTTGCCCTTTCTGTTGGCCGCTCTGCGAGCGGCTGGGAGAGACTCGGGGAATACGAATAGGACGAGGAGGAGGTTGACCAGGGAACAGATGATGGCGACCCAGAAGACAGAGTTGACGCTTTGAAGCGGATGATCGACTGTGGCAGAGTCAGTTTGGTGGGGAGGGAAGATGAACCGGACATGTACCTGTGCCGACTCTGAGGAAAGAAAGGGGGTGTTTGATCAACCAAGCGCCGATGATGGGCCCGAGAGCGAGACCCATGAAGGAGACGCCTGTGAAGCGGGCAAAGATGGTCGACCGGGATCCAGGGGAGGTGCAATCTGCGATATATGCGGTGTTGGCGCCCATGAGGGATGACCAGCCTCCAAGGGAGCCTTCTATGATAGGAGCGAGGATCAAGAGTTTATGTGAATGCGCAGCAAGTGGGCTGTGTGGGGTGGATACGAGGATAAACGTGAGGTCGCTGAAGAAGTGAATTCAATGGTTGCAAAGATGTGACATGAAGGGAAGAGCACGTACGTGAGGAAAAGGCCGAAGGTGGATACGGCGAGGACGCGAGTTCGGCCGTGACGTTCACCGAACTGGCCCCACCAGGCAGTTGTGAGTGCAGAGAGAGTGCCCATGGTTGTTGTCATGATGGTCTGTAGTCGGGCGGCACCGGCCTGTACGGCAGGGTCTGAGACGCACTTGTTTCCGGGAATGACGCGTGGGTCATCGCCCTCTGTGACGCCGTCGCCTTGTGATTCTTGCAAGGGGTGTTGTTGGAAGTAGAGGGAAGTTGCAGGAAAGTCAAGAGGGACGGCAGTAGGATGGAATGCGATGGTGTGGTTGTAGTTGTCATGCAGCTGGTTGCAGGAGAGTTCTGTAAAG